CTCTAACCTCCTGGCTTTTACCTGCTTTTAGCTGTCTGCTTGCATGCTCACACCCCTTCAGCGTCTCAACTGTGTTATTTTAAAGCTTTGGCTGATGGTAAGCCCGATTCATTACACAACACTTTATCGACTGCAGTAAAAGTGAATGTTGGCGGACTGGCACAGGCTTCAAATGTTCTGCAACCTCAGTCTTGTAAATTTTTCCCTTGTGTTTTTTTTTTCTTTTTTTTTTCACCTTGTGCAAGTCGCTGCTCTGCATCGTTAGACGTCTTTATCGTCGCCCACGGTTGGGCAGAAACAGACACACCTCTTCTTCTTAGTCTACTGACCTACTTAGATTATGCTTGTTTGTGTGTGCTCTTCTGAGGAACAGCGTGTCCGTTCTGTCGCTGCGTTCGTTGAACGGCCGGCTGCTGCGGGTCACACTCTGCTTAAACGTGTTTGTTTTGTTGTGCTGAGGGAGACAGGGACTGCAGGCGCGGGTGTTGCAGAAATATTATGGGCTGATTTTTTTTTTTTTTTTTTTGAAATGGGTGAAGTTTCTTCGAAGTTGCAACACATTGCAATGAGTGAGTGAGTCTTCATCAGGATGACCTCCAGAGCTGTGAGCAGAGCTCGGTTGAGATCATCATTTTTCTATCCCCCCCTCCCCCCGCTGCAAGGCTGCAGTTGAGTCATGACAAGTCTGTTGCATCTGGCTGGCACTGAGGATTATGTCATGATTGGGCATGTCTCATCATAGTGGCAATCCTGTGTGCGCAGACTCAATCGCACATCATAAATCTCATCAACTCACTGTCTTTTCTTAATAGATTATTGGATTCTTGTGATCTTGCCACTGGCTTCAAGCTTAAACAGTGCTTATGACTGCAGAATATTAGGCTTAATTAATGAATTTAATCTCATCTGTTTTAAGTATCCCATGTGAAAGAGGCTACACTCAGACACCCCTGTTGTTTTAGATGCCTGTTTACAGCATAAAGGTGAAGCTGCACGTCTGAACCACAGACTACATACATTTTCACTGTTTAAGCAGGATTGACGAGCTCCGTGCTTTGACTGCACAAGTGCCATGCACAGATACAGATCTCTGTAGGAGCCAAGTAACATGGAAATAAAATACTAGAGAGAGTCCGTTATGGACTAGAGAAAGATAGCGCTTTGGGAAAACTGTCAAAGTGGTCACACCCATTAACCCCTTTTTATTTTATTTATTTAAATGGTACAGTCTTTATGAAAGGACAGAGTATTAATAGAGTTGTTTTGGTGCCTGACTGTAAATATTGAGACATTGTGCTTTTAAAGCCATCCTTAAGTGGCCACTAGAGGAACTGCTGTTTTCGGCACATCTTCATTGGCTTCATTTTTAAGCCCCGGGTGTTGCCAATTGGTGTGGACACAAATTTAGCATTGTACTTAGTTGTTGTAGTGAGAATTGTTTTATTCTGATAAAATTCAGGCCAGGTGTGGATGCCGTGTCCAGTCTCGAGCTTTAGATGTTGAGCTGGAAATTGCGTGGTTATCCAGGGGCTGCCCCTTTTTGAAGGAGAAGTAGGTATTTGGATGGAGGGGGAAAACCTGATGTGATGTCACAGTTTTTACTTTCACTTCCACAGTGCAGGTTTTCCCATTCAGTGAGGAAGAAGTACACTCCTGCACGTTGAGTCTTTGTAATCATCTGCTAAAGATGTAGCTGGATGCTAGTACGTGTTCAGGGAATAGTTTTATTGCAGAGTATTGGTAAATTATTCTAACCCATTGGGATTTGATGATCAATAATAATAAAAAAAAAGTATCATTACTTATTGCCAAAGGTGTGTACTGAACACAGATGTTAGCTGTTGTCTTTCTAATGACTCTTAAAGCAGCAGCACGGCTGTGTATTTTTACATTGCAAGATGCGGCCCTGTTACATGTGATGACTCGCTGCGTTTGGCTTGATTGAATCATGCGTAGGCCTTTGCTGACTGCAGAAAAATAACCACACACACGTTTGCGCTTCTTCTCCGATCACGTCACTTGGGTTTGGCTTTGCCTTGTTTATATGGGACTTCTTTAGATACGCTGAGATAGCGGTTTATAAAGTCCTCTCTTCTGTGGATTTGATGGGACAATACTTGCACTGTTTATTTTTGTATTCATTATTTTCTATATTTGCTGTTTGTTAATGATAAAATTTAAGAAAAAAAGAAGTGTTAAGAGTAAAG